TCGTTTCCAGAAAGGAGGCTGTGGCAGGCAAGAATCTTTTTTATCTTGAACGCCAAGATACTCAACTGTGGGAACCGCTGCTGGAGAGCCTGCCCCAGCCGTGGTTGTAAAAGGGAGAGATCTCTGATAAGAAATACACTGCAGTCTTTCGTTTAGTTACAAAGCATGCCACCGGTGATCACCAGGAAAATGTCTTCCTGGCTACGCCCAGGGCACCTCTGTTTATTAAATAAGCATATTTGCATAAGATAAGCTTTTGCCCAAATAGGCGTCGAGTGATTATCAGTTTTAAGACATTCCACACTTGCGCAGAGAAGAAATAACAGAGCAATACATGATTATGCCAAGCACTGGTGATCACCGGTGGCATGCTTTGTAACTAAACGAAAGACTGCCGTGTATTTCTTATCACAGATCTCTCCCTTTTACAACCGCAGCTGGGGCAGACTCTCCAGCCGCGGTTCCCACAAGTGGTGGCCCGTGTGAGGCAGACAGCACCGTGACAAGCTGAGCAATGCAATAACGTGACAATTCACACTTGCCCATGCCTGGCGAGGGTTTCAGGTGCGCCACGCATCCACAGATCCCGGGTGAGGGTTGATTTGTCAAGTTAGATACCTAGACTCCTAGCAACATGGGGAGTTCTTTATCAAGTCTTCAGGAACAATATGTAAAAGACCTCCACTTCTTATTAACAAAGGATGGTCACACGACCACGCGTAAAAAAGTGGAAGCTTTAGTTCATACTATTGAGGATGTATGCCCCTGGGTGCCAGAAGGAGGGACGTTGGACTTCAAGGAATGGTGTAAAATAGGCAGCTGTTTTCAGGGACACCCATGAGTTATAGCACAAGTAATTTTTACATGCTGCAAAGTGCACACTCAACCCCCTTTGGGTGATGTTTCGGTGATGTTGCAGATTGTTTGGGCTGTGATCTGGGCCGTAGATTAAAAAGCAAATAAAAATGCAGAGAAAAGACAGTGATATGAACACAATAATCCAGGGATGCTGGCATGTCTTTGGGTCCAGGGTCCAAGTCTTTGGTACTGAGTCTCGAGTTCAAGTCCCTCTTAGAAACAAGCTTCCCCCTCCCTGAGAACAACAGGGAGGAGTGGGTGGGTTCTGAGTCGCAAGTTGCTTCTGAGGCATTGAAAAATACAAATTTAAGTTCCAGGAACTTAAAATCGGTGCAATTTTAAGTCCAACTTGATGACAAGTCCCATAACTCGGGTCCCCCTCCCTGAACAACAGTGTCATTAACACCACAATCACAGCCTACAAGACCAGTTCTCGCCCTCCTCCTGCTTTGACGTTGGAAAGAAGGCAGCTCACGCCTTGCTTTTTCTGGAATGCCAGAAGCGGCACACTCTTCTAAATAAATAAATAAAAATCCCTGTGCTTTCTCACAAGAGGCCACCCAACTTCCCTGGGGAAGACACCTGCTTCATGTGCCCGTTAACTAAGAAGAGATAGATGGACATCTTTATATAAATGTGGGATATACATCTGGCAAGCTTGACTTCAGTGGCCTGGAGCCTAGGGGTTGGGCTGCTGTTTTGGTTTTCAAGTTTGCTGTTAATATTAAATTGTTTTATTTTTAATGTTATAAGCTGCCTTGTGACAAAGAAGACAGGGTATAAATATTGTAAAGAAATGCTCAACAATAAATAACAAGGTTGATAGCAGCTATTTATAATTATTGATCTCTGCCTTAAGATGCATCTTATTCATAGTTCATAGTTTTAGATATTGTCTTCTAACCACTGTTGTATCCTCATTGTTTTCAACTTTAAATATTGTCTTTCATTGCTATAAGCAGCCTTGGGACCTTTTCAAGGAGAAAAATGGCATACAAAATATTTTAAATAAATAAAAAAATATAATTTTAACATAAATATAATAGTCAAATATAGCTAATAGTTTATAAATACATAATATATACAGTATTCATTATATTATTTAACAACAACAAAACAACAACAACAATAGCAGCAGCAGCAGCAACAACAACAACAAACAACAACAACAACAACAACAACAACTGGAGAGCTGGAAGGGATCCCTAAAGATCATCCAGTCCAGCCCCTATCAAAGAAGCCCACTGGGGGGATTTGAACTCCCAACTTATCCATCTGCATCCAGAGACCTGAAACCATGGAGCCCTTTATAGATACAGTGTTGTATCTATATGCACATCCCCAAGAGCTCACCTGCCCATCATAATTAACTGCAGGATTAACGATCTGTAGTGTTGTATCTATATGCACATCCCCAAGAGCTCACCTGCCCATCATAATTAACTGCAGGTTTAACGATCTGTACACCTAATTGCTGATGACAAGAGTTAGGCGGGCTGAAAATTCGGCGGTGGGAGAGAGGGGTCCTAGAGTCGGACACGACTGGACAAAAAAATTGTCAAGGGGAACCTTTACACCTAATTGCTGATGACAAGAATTAGGCGGGCTGAAAATTCGGAGGTGGGAGAGAGGGGATATCGCTCTAATTGACCTAGCTCTATGTCTCTCTCGAGGCTCCGCCCCACTCGCCAGGCCTCCCTCCCGAGAGTCTTATTAGCGAATGTCTTCCTGACGTCTCTTTTCTTTTTTTTCCCTTCGCCCCCAAGAGGCTCCTCCCAGAGGCTCTCGGGAGCTGTAGTCCTTCCCGGTGGCGCCCCCTCCCGGCCCCGCCTTCTGCCTCCTCTGGAGCCACCTCCCATTGGCCTTGGCGCGGGCGAAGAGGCGGGGCTGCTCGCCCCCCGCCCCTTCTTCCTTGACCCTCCCCCTCAGAACTACGCCTCCCAGGTCACCCCGCGCGCGGAGCTCGTTGGGCGCTCGGCTCTTCCTCCTCCAGCGAGCGGCGCTCCTTGGAGTCCCGCCTCCCTGCGCCCAACCCGTTGCCCCCGGCCGCTGCGCTCACGGGAGCCCCCGGCTTCTTTCGGGGCCTACCTCTTCCTGTCTCGGCGGCGAGCATGGCGCGGCCGGCGGTGCCCAGTTCGCAGAAGGCGCTGCTGCTGGAGCTGAAGGGGCTGCAGGAGGAGCCCGTGGAGGGCTTCCGCGTCAGCCTAGTGGACGAGGGGGACCTCTACCACTGGGAGGTGGCCATCTTCGGGCCCCCCAACACCCACTACGAGGGCGGCTACTTCAAGGTGAGGGGCAGGGAGGAGCGAGGAAGGGAGGAGGGAAAAAAGAAGAGGAGGAATCTCACACAAAGACACACAAAACAAAGAGTTGGGGGGAGACTACAAGCCCCATCGTCCCCAGCCAGTCCAGAGAAGGAGAGCCCGGAAGGGGGGGTGGGGCTTGGAGTCCAAAGAAGGAAAGCCCATGGGGGATGATGCCCCCCCCAAAAAAAGAGACCTCCAAGCCTGGGAGCTTGTAATTGTTGAAAAGTAAGTTTCCGCGTTCCGGCTGGGCTTTGTCCTGGGAGTTGTAGTCCGTGTCCGTCCGTTCCCCTTCCCCCCCTCCCCGCTCATTCCTGGCTCGAGTTCATTCTGGAGATGAAGCAGGGAGGAAAAGTGAACCTTCCAACTTCTTAAGACTATCCGGCTCTAAGGACAGGCTTTTTAAACTCCTTAATCTTGCCGCAGTCTTAAATCATATAAATCCCCAAATGTCGACAGTCAAGTTTCGCTTTACAGATTTACATGTAAATATTTTTCCAAGGCAGAGTCCCAAAGGAGATGATAAACATCAATTGAGTTTTGTCAAGGCGAAACATAGGAAAGAGACGGCAGAAACAATAAGGGGGAAGCAGAATGAAGAGAGAGCAGTAAAATCATTTCGTTTTGTGGGTTTCAAGTCAATCTAGAAGTGTACTAATATGAGGAAGTGTAAACAGTAGTACGGTGTGAATACCATCATCTTCTATATTACAACCAAGGTTTGAAATTGTACTTTTCGGGGCTCAGATCCCCAAAATTGACCCAGTTGAGAGGAATGTCTAACTGCGCACATCTAGATAACCCTGAGTTGAAATAAACATGAATTAAAATATTAATATTTAAAGCTGTTGTTTTGGCAGAGTTTCTGACCTGGAGGTGTTTCTTGACCCTTGCCAACCTGCCCTTTTTCTGAGTACCTGTAATTCAGTTTTCTAATAATAAATCACCCCCTGGTGGAGTGCCGAGTTACTTCAGAGTAAACATGTGAAGTAACATGCTGTAAAGTCTCATGTTTTGTCCTTTTATCCGCCGTGACCTCATTCATGGGGAATCATTTCTTACAACAGGGATAGTTTCCAGTTACACACCAGGAATTTTGAGTGTGTCATATCCACTGTCATAAACAGCATAAACCTGATTATTTGTTTAAAGTGTTTGTGCTTCGCCTTCTTCCTGAAGAGGAGTACCCAAGGCAGCTGACAATATTAAGAGCATTGCTTGAGTGTTGTTTACCCATTTAATCTAACTTAATGTCTACTGTGTTTATCCTGCTGTAAACAACCCAATTAATGTGTTGCACTCATGGAGCAGTGTGAGGGAGGGAGGGCCGTAAGTGGCCAACCTTTCATGGAAATACACTCACACACACACACACACCCAACCTGGCGGCCCCTGGCTGTGCTGGTTGAAGATGATGAGAGTTGTAGTTCAGCATCTGGAAGGAGAATGATTTGGAAGGTGGATTTCAGACAATCCGTTCTCCTCACCCTCCTCTTGAATCTAGATATCCAAGCACTGAAACTTTAAGGGTTTTACAACTTATGGGCATTGAATTGCAAAGCACTAATCAAGGGTGATGGGAATTGTAGTTGTGCGCCGCTGGAGGGCTGTGTTCCCCTTCACTCACAAGGTCTAGAGGGCTGGAAGAGGTGTTACGCTATTATTATAATTCCATGGTTTTGGCATCTGCCAGCAGAGCCAGAGGTTAGGAGTTTGATTCCACCCACTGGGCCTCGTGGACAGGGGCTGGACTGGATGATCTTTAGGGGTGCCTTCCAGCTCTGCCGTTCCAAGATGATTATGACTGGTAGAAAGAACTTTTGATCATAGTTTTATGAAGCTGGCTTCGTTTCCGCAAACCACGTTGGATGCTAACCGGGGTTTAGGGTTTCAAAGGTGTGCTAAACCATGGTTAGCGTGCGTCAGAAGAGAAGAGTGAGAGAACGCTCCTCTTTGTGCCATTGCGTGCGGCCGTACTTTCTTCCCTGTTCCAGCGGGAGCCCCAGAGGTGACATTTTGTCTATCTGGGCAAAGGGCCAGTAGATCACACAGATTTGGCAAGAAGACTCGGCTTCCCAGACGAAGGTTGGCCAACGAGGTCACATGGGGCAACCCGACATTTCCCGTCCTGGCTGGACTGGGCGGAAAGGGTGCTTGTCTGAGTCAACCTGGAGTTGGCGACTTCCTTCCAGGGACATCTTAAAACATACACCTCCCTGGGGTGTGTTGCTGAAGGCCGCCAGCAATGAGCAAACCAAAACGATGGCCTCTTCCCCACGTGAGTCAGGCAGATATTAAGTCTTTGGTGCGCCTATCCTTTTTAAGTGAACCCAGCAGAAGAGGGTCGCTGTAGGACACTGGCGTCTTCCCTGTATTGCAGGCCGAAAGAACCGCTTAATGAGCTTGTGTTAGACAGTGGGCTGTAACCAGAGCCTTGCTCACCCTGGTAGCCCTCAGGCATTTTGGACTACAAGTCCCAGCATTCTTAACCCTTCGGAATGGGGAAGGTGCATAGCTCTAGTGGCAGAAGGTTCCAAGGGTGAAGGATTGCTGCTCAGTTTTGGGAACACCATGGCGGCTGGTTTATAAAATACTCCTCCAAGTCAAGCAGACCGTCACTCCGATCTGCTATCTGCCTTTGCCTCCCGGAGCTTCTCATTTCAGCCAGCTCTCTCTTCATGAGGACTGGAACTTAGCTTTCTCTTAGTGGTGAAAACTGACATTTCCATGTGGATTGGGGGGGGTACCTCCCCCGTGCTTTCTCTGAAACTGTGGAGCGCTACCGCTTTATGAGCCATTTTGGGAATTAACCTGCGAGCAAGTTGTCCAGCTGGCCACCTAGACGGGTTTCATCAGAGGGGGGAAATCCAGAAACGGTTGCTTTAAATAATTTCTGCCACGTGACCACTATAGATACTGAGGTGTCATATAGGGAAGGGGGTTATTCTGAATAAGAAGCCAGACAAGATGGGCTCCTCGCATGGAGGTTTATTATAATACCGAGACTGACCTTCCATTCCCAGGAGTAGTCTATCTCAGGGAGTACTTATAGATGCGGTAGGTGAGGAGTACAAGAGGCTCTAGTCCTGCTTGTTGGTTTCTACCCGGGGCAGCCAGCTGGCCACGGGAAAAAACACTTGATTTGTTCCCGGGGACTTGATCCCGCACCGTTCACTTTTCAACCTTGTGGGGAAGCAGGACTGGGTGACGTGAAGAGCTGATTTGTGTAGGTAAGGCACGTTTCGTCATCAAAACCAGGAACAGCCCCTCTATGTGCAAATATCAGATTGGCCAGCTTCCACCAGGAAAAAGTGTGTCTGTTTCTCTGATTGATTTAGTGCTTCTTTAACAAAAAGAGAGAGAGAAAACGGTGCGTTCTGCCAGGTTTCCCCTTCTGTTCAATTTTGATTTTTCCATGTGAGGCCTTTTTCTGCTGTTCTGGAAGCGGAGGAGAGAATCCCTTCATGGGGACAAACCTTTCTAGAAACACTGAGTGTCTCTCGTAGATCATTCTGGGATGGGAGGTCTGTCTGTGTGTGTCTGTCACTTTCCCACCTTCTGCACCAAAGACCGTCTTGGCTTCTTCCCGCCATATAGCTTTTGCAGAAGTATTTCGGCCTGAGAGAGAAAAGTTCAGATTTCTCCTCCATCGGACCTTTGACCCGTGTAACTTCATGACGAGCAGCCACTCTCCAGGTTTTCAGGATTCCTAGAGGTTTTGAAGGTTCACCCTAAAGACGAAGAAAGAGTGCTGAGCAGTAGCATGTCCTACCTTGCAAGGGTAGCGTGCTGTCTTTCGCGAGAGGCATTTAAACAGAGCTTGGGAGCCCATCTCGGGGAGGGAGGTCCTGCATCCACAGGGTCTCAGACTGCTTCGCTTTAGGTGTCCCTGACCAACTCTGCAATTTTAGGATGCCTCCAGCATTGAAGTAAAGATCCGAGCCTGCCCTCCCATCATCTTCTCTTGGCATGGAAGGGCATTGTTCTGTCTGTAGCCGGTCTGTTTCCTGCGATATCCCAAGGCGCATTTCCCCATGTTCTTGAAAAGCTGCTCTTTTCACAAGTGGGCAGCCCCCTAACCAGGTTTGTGATGGAGGGCAATCTTTTTTTTAAACTTTTTTTTAAACTTTTATTAGATTTTTACCCCGCCCCCCCTAGACAAAGTCTACTTGGGGCAGCTTCCTATTCCCAGATCTGATCCGTTTCACTACGTCTCCTTGCCCGTCCGCCCGCGATCCATTATGTGTGTCTGCTGATGGTCTAAAGTGAGAAGCCGGAGAGTCGACACTCTTTTCTAATGGACACACACTCCGTTACCCAAGGGTGTTGCTCCATTGCCCCGGGCAAGGGTGGATGGGCCTGGGCAGCCGGGAATCGGAGCTGAGATTTGGGTGGTGCTCAAAACGAAGGCACAGTGAGTCAGTTCCCCGTAAAACGACATCCAGGGAGTGTCTGTTTGATGTTGGTGTTGCCTGACTCACCCGGAGTACGCAAAATAAACCAAATAAAGCCAACTGGAGTGTGTTGTTCTCTTGTCCTGTTTTTGAGAACCCGGTAAAGTGCAGGCCTAGCACAGGGGTTGTACTTTGGGAGGCTTCCCCAGCCATTGGTTGCGTCGCTGTGATGTCACGGAAGCTAGCCAAGGTGGGGGATGCCCTTGGGAAAGCCTCCCCCCAGCCATTGGTTGAGCTGCTGTGATGTCATGGAAGGTTTGTAAACGTTCTAGCCGACAGCGTGAGCTCTCCCAAGGAGGGGGATTTAGTACTGGGAAGACCCTCGCACTGAACGGGCTCAGAACAAGAGACTAAAGAGGTTTTGGGGCGCCGGGTGGCACCTTTCTGTTTGAACCCCTGTTTTTTTCTTTCCTCCACTGAGCTTGTGGGTGCCTGTACAGCCCTTCCCCTCCCTCCTTTTTTGCTTACGACGATCCTGCGATGCAGGTCGGATGAAAGGCCCCTTCTGATTAACTGAGCATTGACTGTCTGAAGGCCGCTTCATACGTCTCATGACTCAGTGCAGGCTCCCCGTGCTCCTTGGTTCACAGAACATTAATTCTGGGCAGATCTCACTGCTTAATTCAATCTGATTTTGAGACACTGAAGTCCCTAGGTACTCTCCTGGCTCCTCTATCCAGTGGCAAGAAGTTCCACAAGCTACTTCAGCATCTTCCCTGTGCGTTGGGCAGGAAGGGTGTCTCCTGCCCCCATCCGGCTCTCTGGCCCGACTGCTCTCCCTTCTCTGCTCCCAGGGCCCTTTTTAACCAGAGTGCCGGGCATACAAAGGAGGAGGAAGTTTTCCGCCTGCTGGACCGGCCAGACCGGAGCCAGGCCAACTCAAAAACAACCTGCCCCGAGCTTGCAGGGCCAGGAGGGCAGGATTCCTGGGGCCAGTCGGGTTCAACTCGCTCGGCCAGGCCGGGAGGAAACTCCCCGTTGCTTAAAACCTCGAGTGGGCATTTGGCAGACCGGCGGACCAGGTGGCACTTGTGCAATGCAGGGGAGGGAAGTGGGAGGAAGCCCGAGCAGACCTGGTGGGCCACAGATGGACCATTGCCGGCCTGCTTGTGAGCCAGGGGTACCCTGCCTTCCGTTTTACCAGATCCAGGCCCTTCTCCCGTTGCCGTTCTCAGAGGGACCACCTCCTTTGCCGTGGGGTGTTGCGGATGCCCACCGCCTCGGGCCAGTCTGCTCCTGCACTCGTTCCTAACGCTCCTCGTCCTCTCACTCTTCCTTCGCAGGCTCGCCTCCGGTTCCCCATCGACTACCCATACTCCCCGCCAGCCTTTCGGTTCCTGACCAAAATGTGGCACCCCAACATCTACGAGGTAAGGCTGCCAGGCCACGGGCGGGAGCAGGAGTCACCCCACGGAAGGCTGGGAAGCCGTCAGAAGCCTCCGCCCGTCCCTCGTGGGTTCGGAGAGGGTGGCGCTCCCTCCAGCTTCCTGGCTACTCTGCTTCCACAAAGCCTAAGCCCTGCCTTCAGCCGTGTTAATGCCTCTGTTCCCACACCATCTCCTCGCCAGGCCCAGATTTCGTTGCTGCGCTTGGAAGCACTGTCGGGACGTGCGCATGGCCTCGGAGTTTGGCCTTGTTGCCGCTGGGCTGTCTACCTGCCTGAAGAGAAAGGCCTTTGCCTGCCAGCAGGAGGAGAGCCAAGAGGGATCAGCCTGGCCTCCAGTGGCAGGGAGTTCCTCTAGGAGCCACGGAGAAGGGTCCCCTCTCCCGGGTCCCCACCAAAGAGACCTCAGGGTGGCGGGACCGAGAGAAGGGCCTCTCCTGGTTAGCACCAGATCCGAGGTCCCCAGAGTGGGATACAGACATAAAAACGACATTAAACAGTGCCTGTTTACAAATTCAAATTGGGCAAACCACTCAAAAGCGGGAAGGGTTCCGACCCCTTTAAAACAGCGCGAACCCTGAGTCGGCACTCTGCACCGCAGGTTCCAAGGGAGGGCATGTTTTAACACGGTGCCAAAACAAAGCTGGCGCCTGTGCCCGTCAGGCCTTTAGGGACTGGGCATTTCACAACAGCTCCTCTTAGGAGGAGTACATAAGCCTCCCAAAAAAACAGATTTCTCCCATTTGTTTTCTGCCCCAAGAAGGACGCTGAACACCTTGACGTGTCCATGAGTGTTTGAGAAGGCTTGCTTTCCAAATGTGCCACAGGGAGAATTTTTAGCTATGCAGCCACGGGTTGCATTGTGTCTGCCAAATGAATGGACTCAAGTTTCCACCTTTTTTGCCTTAAAAAAAAAAAACATGTTCCACACTCTGACTTAGATTTTGTATGCTAAAAATGACCAATACCTGTCTTTTCAGACGGGAGACGTTTGCATCTCCATCCTGCATCCCCCGGTGGACGACCCACAGAGCGGGGAGCTGCCCTCGGAAAGGTGGAACCCAACCCAGAACGTCAGGTGAGGACCTTCCCCCCCCCCGTCCTCCCTTGCTGGCTGGCCTCCCTTCCCACCTCCGAGGAGCGAGGACAACTTTGAAGTTTAAAACGTGAGCGTCAAAGGCGGTCCGTTAAGTTCAGCACCAAGGCTGGAAGCCTCTGGAGCGAAAATCACAGGGCAGGATTTCACACACAGATTGTCCTGCCCTCACGTGGGCCTTTAGTTCCAGCCTCCAGGCGCCAGCAGCCTTGAGCCCTTTTTTTCCTCCAGTCCGGGACAGAAGGAGGCCACCTCTCCTCATCCATGGCCCTTCAGAAACTGGGTCTGAGTCAGAAAGAAGCTGAAGTCTCCGGCTTTAAAACCCACTTCTTCCTGGTTCTGCCACGTTCTTTGGCTTGACCCCATGTCCCTGGGGACCTGCCTCCCTCCAGAGCGGCCAGAATTCTGGGAACATCTGTGGCCGGATACAGGGACTTGTGTGGCCAGAACAGACTCAGAGGTGCAAGGGGGGGTGTTGTTCCCCACTGGTTGAAAATCACTGCCCTAGCTAGGGGTGCTGGGAGACCCAGCTGGTTTCATCCCGTCAGCCGTCCTACCAGGAGGGCTGCTTGAGCTCGGCTTCTGGAGCTAAAAGGAAGTATTTATTTGTCTTGCTTTATAAGTCTAGTCTCCAGATCATCCCTCTTTATTTGGCACTGGTTAGGCCTCCTCTTGAGTCCTGCATCCAGTTCTGGACACCACACTTCAAGAAGGATGCTGAGAAATTGGAGCAGGTTCAGAGCAAGGCAAGAAGGAGGAGGATCAGGGGGTTGGAAACCAAACCCTGCGAAGAAAGGCTGAAAGAATTGGACCTGTTTAGAAAAGAAGATGGAGGGGAGATCTGAGAGCACTTTGCAAATGCTTGAAAGGCTGTCCTATGCAGGAGGGGCAGGGTCTGTCCTCCATCTTCCCAGAGTGCAACCATGGGCTCAAGTGACAGGAAGCTGGATTTCAGCTGAATCTTCAGGGGAAAAAAACTTCTTAACTGTTAGAGCAGTCCAGCAGGGGAATTGGTGACCTATGTCACAATTCACAATGAATTATTCTTTAAAAAACAATTAATTACTAATGTGATAGTAAATGAAACACATGGATCTCTGTCCATTACCCAGGAGACCAAGGACTCAAGTGATTCTGTGTCTCTGTGTTGGAAGGCTGTCATTTGTATTTGTTCTGTGCTGTTAAGTCACTTCTGATGTCTGGTCACCCTGTGAACGAGCGCTCTGCGAAAGGTCCTGTCCTCCACAGCCCTGCTCAGTTCTTGCAGACTCAAAAGTTGTGGTTTCTTTAGGGAGCCGGTCATTGGGGTCTTCCTCTTTCCCTGCTGCCTTCCCCCTTTCCCAGCAGGATGGCCTCATCTAGGAAATCCTGCCTTCTCACAACATGTCCAAAATAGGACAGCCTCCGTTACCACATTTTTTGCCTCCAGAGAGAGTTAAAAATCTGGGATCCACTGGTTCATATTCAAAGAGTTTCTGCGAAGCTCTCCTCCAGCACCATGTGTCAAACAAATCATTTGACCACACACACACACCGTCCGCTTTCTTTCGATGGGATAGAAAAGGGGTATTTGCATGATTACGACCTGTCATATGCCAACTCCAGAATGGTTTGATGACATGGTGGTAAACCCCTTTGACATTTTTTCTTCTTTTCAATTCCTTTTCTTGCTTCTTCTTAAACACTCCAGAACCATCCTCCTTAGCGTGATCTCGCTTCTCAACGAACCGAACACGTTCTCTCCCGCCAACGTGGACGCCTCCGTCATGTACAGGAAGTGGAAAGAGAGCAGAGGGAAAGATCGGGAATACACAGATATTATCCGGTGAGTGGCAGCATGTAGGGAGCCGGCGCTTACGGCTGGATCCGTCTTCTGTAGCCGAATGGGCATCCTGCTGGCTTTGATGCTGTGGTTCTCATTCTGGGAAGTTTGAGATGTCCTCCCACAGCAGGTTTGTGGAGCCCGTGTTAAACCCCTTCAAAAACCCAGCCAGGGAAAATGAGCTCTTAGAACCTATTGTTAGGAGATGGTTACTCTGGCTGGAGAGCTTGGCCGAGGTATTGGGCTGTGGGGACAGAGGTTGGGAGTTTGAATCCCCCACTGGGCCTCCCGTGAGCAGAGCCAGCCTAGGTGGCCTCAGGCAAGCTACAGAGTCTCAGGCACACACACACACACCCCCGGAAGAAAGTAAACCACCTCTGAGTACTTTCTCTGTAGAAAACCCTGAAAAAGTTTGCTGCAAGTCAGGACTGGCGTGATGGCACGTCATCATTGCCGTACAACAGACTGATCAGTGCGGAATGGATTCCCTGTGGGTTGTATGGGTTAGCCTGTTACCTTCCATTCCTCCCCTTCCGTTTCATTGCCAGGAGGCCCTTGAGCACCAGGCCTCCCCTGGACTATGGCCCAGATAGACTCGGGGATGCTCCCCCTTGTGTGAGGGCATCCGTGAGTTCCCCTTTCTGCTATCTTGCCTTGTGCCACACAGTTATCCACCATCTCCATGATGCACCTCCCAAAGGCCCCGCTAGCTTTCTGTTTTTATCAGGACCCAAAGATTGGAAGCTCATCCAGGTACTCACCCATCCAGAATCCCCCCACTAGCTCACTTGATACCTAGTTCGTTCCCTGTAAAGGAGCGGAGGAAATAAGACAAAGGGCGGAGGAGGGAAGAACAGCATGCATTACAGGACAGGGCGAAGGCATCAAACTGGATTAAAAACTAAGGAAGGGGGTTCAAAGGAGCCTCAAATGCAATGCTGAAACTGCAGTACTGTAATTAAAACTCTGCTCACCACCTGAGGCCAATCCCCACAGGCTCGGGTAGCCAGCTCAAGGTTCACTCAGCCTTCCATCGAGGACATGGCTCACTTTTGGGGCAGGGGAACAACAATCATTAAATTGTAAACCACCCTGGGAATGTTTCAAGTGTGTATTGAAGCTGCATACAATTTGAAGAAATTTAGAAATGAGGAGAGGAGAATTTTAGGAGAAACCCCACCTCGATGCTCGTATGCAGTTCCCCCTGGTGGTTGAACAAACTTGTTTTCTTGGCCTCCCAGGAAGCAAGTTTTGGGCACCAAGGCGGATGCCGAGCGCGACGGCGTCAAGGTCCCCACAACCCTGGCGGAGTACTGCGTCAAAACCAAGACCCCGGTGCCGGACGAAGGCTCGGATCTCTTCTACGACGACTACTACGAGGACGACGAGATGGACGACGAAGTGGACAGCTGCTATGGGGACAAGGACGATTCGGGCAACGAGGAGTCTTGACAGGGGGGGTGGCCCCCTGCCCGTCTCCCCTCTCCTCCCCTTTGCCCCCCTCCAGCGCCTTCCTTCCACTGCTGCTTTCCCGCTACGGTTCCCGAAAGGAGCAATAAACTGCCTTGACCCTTCTACTTGAAACCCACGATGCGTCCGGCTGAGACTTTGGATCCTGCCCTTGCTCCTTCACACACACACAGACACACACACAGACACACCCCGCCCCGTTTTGGCCCAGAGACAAAAAAGAAAAGAAAAAAAAGGAAAACAAAAAGAAAAGAAAAAACTCTACCTCAAGAGGGAGACTCCGCAGGCAGGGAGGGGGGATGGTGGTTAGAGGGCTTTTTTAATATATATCTATATAAAAAGGGAGGGGGGACGAAACACGTCGTGTCGCTTTGGTTCGGGTTTTTAAAAAAATGAATCAACATAGGGCACGGGGGAGGGAGCAATAGCACTTCAGAGAAGCCCATCCCGAGCTGCGGGGAGGAATCTGACCCCTTGCACCTGCACGGCAGGCTGCAAACACAACACCAGTTGTGGGATTTTTCGAGTGTCAAGCTTTGGTCCGTCCCCCTCCCCCCGGGTCTACTTTTTCCTTTCTTTTCGAATTGCTGAGACCATGGAGAATTCTGAGCAAGACTGGCCTGTAAACAGCTAAGATGCTTGGATGCATCAGCTGTCTTTCTAGCTAAGAAGTTGTCCCTTTTAACACAACCTGGTGAATTGGGACTCGGGGGTGGGGGTGGGGGTTGTTCCTTGATCTTTGTTTTTTGTGCTGCAGTTTCCTTTGCAGCCATTAGGGGGCGCCCTTGCTCTCCTGGACACCCTCCTGACCATTCTGGTCGCCTGTTCTTAGTTTAGAGGGTCTGTTTCAGGGTGGATTGGATTGAAATCAAACGGCTGTAAATCAAACAATCTGAACTTTTTTTTTTGACGATTTAAATTTTAAAAATCAGTTTTTTAAAATTTAAATCATTAAAACAATTTGTTTTTGTTTTTTTTAATCATTGATTTATGTCCACTCTGGTATGTTTGCACCCTGGTTACGTGTGTGTGGGATTTTTGTTAGGAGTGGTGGAAATCCGCCAGCATAAGATAATGATTTTTCTCATAGATCTGTAGAGAAAAGTTGGGCGGGAGGGCTTGTTATTATTATTTTTTCTGTCACCAGGATTTTTTGTTTCCTCTGTTCAGTTTTGCTTTGTGGTTTTGTTTTGTGTTTTTTGAGGGGTGTTTTTCTCCCCCCCCTTGTGTTTTTTGCTCCCCCAGTTTTGAAACTATTTAATAAAAGGACTTTGAATGGACTTGCTGGATGAGTAGCGGCGTTGAATGTTTGCAAAAAGACCACTGGGTCAGGCTGGTTCCTGGCGTTGACTCCTCTGGCATGCTGCTGGATTCCCAGAATCCGTGGCCAGTATGGCTTCTGATCGGGGTATGGTGGGAACTGTAGGCCACCAAGCATTCGGGGACTCAATGGGTGGAGCCACTAGAGTGGAACGGAACATTGTCTGTGAACACCAGAGATGATGATGTTGCCTGTTCAGCTTCTAAATAAGCTCAGGGCAGACAAAAACCTCTTTTCTACGACTAGAAGGATCACGGAGAGTTGTTTAGAGACTAATGCTGGATCAAAGTGGTCTCGCAGCCGAAGTCTTGCTGATGAAAATTGGTCCTGGCTCTCTTCCAACTGCTGTTCTGTCAGGTTACTTCCAACCTTGTGAAGGAGGGCTCTCCAAAATGTCCCGTCCTCCACAGCCCTGCTCAGCTCTGGCAAAATCAAAAGTTGTGGTTCCTTTAGGGAGACAATCCCTCTCACATGGAGGTCTTCCTCTTTTCCTGCTGCCTTCCACTCTTCCAAGTGCGGTCTTCTCCAGACAATATGGTGCAACCCATTTGAAGAGGAAGAGAATGGGTACGGCTGACCTTTCTGGATCTATTTATGTCCCCTAGGACGTGGGCGTTGTGAGCACATGTTGGGAGTTGCCTGTCGTTCCTAGTAAGGTGCTGCCTCATGTCTGTGTGTTTGTCTTTGCTTGACCACACAGGAGAAGAGTTAGTTGGCTTGAGAGAACTGCAGAAGCAAAACTGATGGAAAGAAGGGCCGGGTTACCTCTGAGCATACATAGAGCTCTTTCTGTGAAAGAAAAGGAAGAAAGAACCACTCTGAGTTACTTAAGTACTCCTGAGCATGCATGTATTGTGTTTTTCTCCACTCCTGGGAATTGTGTGGCTGCTTCAGACAGGCCTGGTCTTGACTTTGATGCGAACCTCTGAGGTAACAAGTTCCAAGGCCCATACTTATCTGTCGTTAGTTACTTTTTGGCAAAATGTGTGTAATTTAAGTTACATTTGAAAAACTATGCAACAAACAATTCAGGTAGTTTAGCTGATGTAATGAGGAACATTTGTAGTTACTTTCAAAGGGTAATTTTAGAGGGCAATCTTAGGATGATCCCTAGAGGTGTTTTTAAACTTCTGTGCCTTTCTCTTATTCTTTGTAATAAAAAAAAAACCTTTAAAGTTACCCGTAATGTGATATAGCAAGTTGGCTTTTTCAGCATTGCTGAGAAATAATGAGAATGGAAACCAATTAACTTTTTAATGTTTTCCTTTATTGAAAGAAAGACAGGATATAAATAAAGTCACTCAATTCATTCAAAAGGATCTTTCCAAATTTAGCTGTGACAGCTCTGAAGCCATCAATTGTGATCATGGGTTGTTTTTACATCAGCTGTTCCAGTAGAGCCTGGTTGCTCTGAAAGGAGGGGGGAACGGGTGGCGTGCATCCACCCTGGGTTTTGCTCTGAACTTTACATGGGCTGTCCAGGGTGCTGCATTTTTCCCACACTCCAGAAAATAGATTCAGCACCTTGAAATGCCCCCTTTTAAGTATGTTTCTGATTAAAAGAAGCCTGGAGTGGATTTACCTCCGTCATCACTTCTCATGGAATTGCAGGCCCACCTTCTCTGGTTCTGCTGAGATTGTAGAGGAGGTGAAGGGAGGAAGGGAGCAGGCTTTGCTTGGGGACCAAGGTGGTGGGTCGCAGCAACAAAGTGTTGCCAGCGCGCGGTGGGCCATGCCCTCCCATTGCCCATATGGTAAAAAGCAGGGGTGCCCGGGGGATCCCCGAATTGGGAGGCACTCGGAATGGATTCCAAATCCATCCATAGCATTTTGTGCTCCGAACCCAAGTTCGTTTCACTCGGTTTTCTGGTCTCCTGTCGACATGCTCTGGAAATCCAAACCGTTTTGATGCCTATGGAAACTGGAGGCGCGTGAGACAGGCCCCGAGGAGGGGCCCATTCCATACACTGGATTTTTGCAATCCCGAGTGTACAAAACATGAAAGCTGGCAGAAGTCATCTGAACTTTGCTAGGCTCTAGATGCGAAGCCATTTGTGCCTTCTTGTTGCCTTCGCCAGAAGTCGATTCCGGTCTGCTGGCCTGGAAACGACGGATTGGCCCTCCAATCGACTGAGATTGACTGCTCCTGAACATGGAGGCTCTGTTTTGTTCCGGTGAAGGGCGATTTGCCCCCCCCCCCGAAAGCTCGCCGTTTGTTGTTTTTGGCCTTTTTGTTTTCCACTGCAGTATTTTAAGGGCCGACGGGAGGGGTCGCCTGATCCTGTGTTTGTGTTTGCAAATAATCAGAGTAGGCAATGCAAATAGCCAGCCCAAAGCCGGGGAGCTGGCCGCGGACGGAGGGGCGACGCCGGGGAATGAAGGTCTCGTGTCCCTCCGTGGCCTTCGTAGCTCCCTTCGGAGGGGGCGCCCTCAGCGGCGTCCGGCTCATCGAGTGCTTATTTGAATACGCCTTCCCGATTGGGCGTCTTCCTGGAGTCCGGGTGCGGATTGGTTCTAGGGACGCGCGTGACGGCCGGAAGGTGGCCAAACCGGGGCTCGTTCTACCCGGTTTGACCTCCAACCCCTCCCTTCCCTCGCCTTTTAGCCCCGCCTTTATTTTTTTCTAACTGGCCAATCCTCAACCGGCGTTTTTCTATTGTCTCTGATTGGAGCCGCCCGCCCCCTCCTCGTCCTCTTCTCCCGGCGTTTAATCTCGAATCCCCTCGCTCCCTCACTCCGCCGCCGCCCCTCCTGATTGGACGTCCATCCCGCCTTTCAGCACCCGGGCACCCAATCGGGAGGAAGGGCGTGCTTGGGGGGGTGGTCCCTCCCTCTCGCGACCCTCCGGCGGGAGCCTGGGCTAAAGCGGAGAAAGGCGCCGAGCGCCAAGGCAGGAGGAGCTCCGGGCGGGACGGGATGTTGCTGACGCTGCTGGGCCTCGTGCTGGGCGCCCTCGGGGGCGCCGCGGCGGCCGGTAAGGGCGCGAAAGGGCGGGAGGGAGCGAGTGAGGGGCCGGAGAAAGGCTTGGCCCCGAGGCGCGAGCCTGCGAGGAGGAGGAGGAGGAGGGTGAGCTTCCTCCTCAGGCGAAATTTAAGACGGCTTTTTTCTGAGGGGAAATTAAGACAATTTTTTTGAGTTGAAATTGTGATTCTTCTGAGGGAAAACGAGGATTCTTCTGAGGGGAAAATATTTATTCTCAGGGAAAGTGAGGATTAGTCTTCAGGAGACATCTTCCTTCTTTGGGGAAATCATGATTCTGAGGGAGCGTCAGGAGGATTCTGGAGAAAAATCATTCTTCTGAGGGAAAGCGAGGATGATTTCTGGAGGGGGATTCTGAGGCGAAACGGGGCCTCCTCTGAGGAGACCCTGCTGCCCCTTCTGAGGGGAAAGCGCGGGTGGGGAGGGTCTGGCGTGGACTGGGAAGCGGGGGGGGGGAGGCCGCTGGTTTGACGGGGGCGGGGAGAGGAGAAGGGTCGGGGGGAGAGGGGCCCCCGGCAAAACGAGGGGGAGGAAAAGGCCCCCCCCATCTCATGGGGCGCGTGGGAGGGGGCTCCGCTTAGCCTCGCCCTCGCGGGGGGGGGAAGCCCCAAGTCCTCCTGCTCGCGGCCCGATTGGCTCCGGGAGGGCGGGGGCGCCTTTTTCTGTTTCTTGCGCCCCCTGAAGAGACGGGGAGGGGGTCGGAAGGCCTAGGGGTCGCTTCCCATAAGAGAAAGAAAGAAAACAGCTCCCCCTCCCACGATCGGTGACGCGGGTGGAAGCACGTGGGGTGACGAGAAACGTGGAGAAAGACCTTAACAGACCGGGAGGGGGAGGAGGAACTCACCAGTGGCAGCCCTGAGGGTTCAAAGCCTGCCCGAAAAGTGTAGGTGTGTGTGTGTGGGGGGGGGGAGGATCTTCAGCGGAAGAGTCCAAGGGAAGCGGGGGGGGGGAGCGAAACACTCAGCCTCCCTTCCTTCCCAGGTCGGTAAATTGGAGGGGGGGAGCCTGTGCAGCCTGTATCACTGAAACGTCACAACCGCCCCTCCTCCGAGAGTGCTTTCAGCGCTGTGGGGGAGTGTCTCGGTAGCCTCCCTTTGGTTTATGGTGGGAGAAGTTGGGGGGGCACATGTTATGGGTTGGTCTGATGTGGGGGGAGGCATCGGGCAGGGAGAGGGGTCTCATCGTCCGATGAGAGGGTCCGATGTGGGAGGAAGGGGGGGGTCTGCCGGGCGAAGGTGGCTAGTTTTATGGGGGGATGAGAGAGCACCCTCCCACAATCTCCAGTGGGAGGTGTGGCCTAAGAAGGTCCCCCCATCTTGTCGTACAGGAGTGAGGGGGAGAAGAAGGTGGCCTCCCTAAGGCATTGTGTCAGGGATGGGTCTGCCTAGAAGGGGCAGGAGGGGAGAGCCTGTGGAGAAGAGAGGGGAGGGCCCCCTTGTGCAGGGACAGCTGGGGCGGGCAGAGGAGGGATTGTGTTTGAGGGAAGGTGGAATGGCAGCAGAAGAGGAAGCTGGGCCCTTGAGAGTGGGAAGCCTGATGGGGGTGGAAAGGAAGGAGAAATAAGTGAGGGGATCCCCTCTCTTGTTACTGAAAGAGGGGCCACGGATGCCCCCCCCCGAGTGTTGCGAGAGGCAGTCCGCATTGTGAAAATTATCAAGGAACAGGGGTACAAAAATTAGTACCAACCTTGAAATGGTTATGTAAACAAATTGTGTAAAAGCATCTTGCGGTCCTGTGGAAGCATGGGCAAAAGGACCACGTCATTCATCGAGCTAGGCAAGATAGCGAGCATGTGAATATCTTTGGGCAAGGAAGGCCGCCAGCAGCTGAGCGCTGTCCTGTAACACCTATCCTCTATTGCAATCCCTTGCTCCCTCTCTGGAACTGGGGTGCCCCTTGTTACTGTTTACTTGCAAAGTTGGGGTGCTCCCCCCATCCCACCCTCCTCCTGTTCATAGTTTTCTCTCACAACGGTCTAGCAGAGGGTTACCTTGACATTGGTAATAACTGCAGTATTGTTAGTTTGGCAAAATATAGCCACAATAAATATAACGTGCTGTTGCTTGCAGGCTGCCTGCTTGGATAGATGGAGGAGCTCTGTTCCTTTGCAAATAGCACTTTCAAAGCTGAGAATACAGAAACAGTGCATCTCTGTTGGAGATGTATGCAAAGATGCTTTGCACACATGTCCCTTATATAATAATCCTTGTTGGTGAGGGGGGCAGTTCAGGCCACTCTGGGGGTGAGAGGTGGATGGGCTGTTTTGGCTCTGGCTTCAGAGGCCTTTCCCCCTGTCCTGCGGTGCTTTTCCTACTAGGCGAGCATTTGCAGTTTTGGAAGAAATTCAGTGGAGGCACCGTTAAGCACTCCTGTGGCTTGCTTGCATGCTCTCTGTGTGTGAGAGGACCTTAGCTCCTGAAAAGCAGATCTGCTCCTTGGTTGAGCATCTGAGGCCTAGTTTTTACTCAGAAGACAATCCTGTCACTTCATAGGATTGTTTCCTCATGCAATGAACACCCTCCTTCGTACACAAAATGTTTTTTTATTATTATTATTTTAAAGAAGTGATTCTGATTAGCCTTGGCCCTGGTTTATTTCTGTGTTGTCTGTTGGAGCACTTAATGCCTCTGCTGCAGCCCAGATTCTGTAAGAAGAGAGGTTTTGTGACCCTCCAGGAGCCTCTGACTGGTGGTTACCCATCATCCTTGCCTGTCATGTTGTAGGAGCTGCAGTTTGGAAATTCACAGTTGGGTATCCTTTTGAAGTATGATGCAGTATGAAGAACTGGCCCTTTATGTATATGTTTTCTTAAAATATGAAGCATATGTAAATATGTCTCCTATCTTAACTAATTAAGTTTGAAGTACTGTGTGTTATCAAGTCCTTAATACATGTGCCTTTTGAGGACACACTATTTTTAAGAGAACAAAAGCAAGCAGCCCATTATTATAAGTCAAAGCAGTCTTATAATTTTCCTTTTGTTACAGGAGGTGGGCAACAGCAGTGGCAGGCACTGCGGAGGTGGAAAAAGAGGGAGGCTTAATAACCCTTTTTTTCTTCTCTGATTTGGAGAGAATTCTTGGTGCTGGGCCAGAGGGTGAAATGTTACGGAATTTCCCTGGTTGGATTTGGAGGAAGTGCTTGAAGGAGAAGATGTATGAAGCGCAGGGAAGAAGGTTGTGAGAAACCAGCCTTTTTTGGGGGGGGATGCAGCAGAAAATGTCATTGGGCCCAAATAGGTCAGGGGACGAAAGGTTGTCCAATGCCACACAGGGCTTTGTGAGGTTAAAGCAGTCTTCTGAGGGATTTGGGGAGGATAAAGAAGTACAGTTCCTTTGCTTTTAAAAGGGGCACAGTTGGTATTTGTGCTCTCGCTGTACCAGCTGATATTTAAGATCCTTTGGGAGACAAGTGGCATATAAATATTTTGAGTAAATAAAGAACTGAATGGTCTGGACTGCATTGAGGGAGTTGAGAGCAGTTTGTGTTCCTGTAACGGCCAACATCTGAACAATATATGATTCATCATCTGCTAGTTTGGGCCATCTTTCACTCTAGACTAGAGCATCCAGGTGTTCTTGGACTACAGCTCCCAGAAACCCCCCTGGCCAGCACAGTTGATGGTGAAGGCTCCTGGGAATTGCAGTTCCAAGGACACCTGGGTGACCCAAGGTGGGGAACCAGCCATTTTTGAATATTTTTGGCTATTGCCATAAATGCTATATGAAAAAAATAGGTGGCATCGGGATTGTGTAAGTTGCAGAAAGAACCTTGTAAGCCCCTTTCAAATATGCGAAGGGCCCCCAGGGGGGCACATCACCTGGGTGACCCAAGGTGGGGAACCAGCCATTTTTGAATATTTTTGGCTATTGCCATAAGTGCTATATAAAAAAAATAGGTGGCATCGGGATTGTGTAAGTTGCAGAAAGAACCTTGTAAGCCCCTTTCAAATATGCGAAGGGCATCTAAGGGGGGCACATGTCCCCCCACTGAGAATGGCTGCTCTAGAGGATAAAGGAAGTGGAGGCCCGAGGTTGGGGATCACTGCTCTAGAGGATAAAGGAAGCGAGTGCTGTCCTTCTATTCTGGGACAGGAGGAATCACTCAGGTTCTGATTGAAAAGGGGTGGAAAGAAAAGAATTGGAGGGTGCTTTCATTCTCAATAATTAATTCAAAATATAGGTCGTACAGATCTGTAGGCTAGCGATTGCTTTATCATGCTTTACTGCTTGGCTCCTGGAAGGAGCAAAGCTCTAGATTTGCGGAAAGTACTGTATTCTCTTGGCCTGTGTGGCTTTCTGCCTTTTCATTGCTTCTAATCGCCCACAAATTAATTTGAATACATATAATACGTGGTGTGAGGGGTTAACATTGGGAAAGGCTGATATTTTCACTTGACATCCTAAAGAAGCTCTGCCCAGAAGAAATTTATACTCAGTCATGGCTCTTTGAGTGTCCGATCATAGAAGCTGTGGAGAGAGCCATCATTCTTAGCTATTTTTTACAAAGGCATGTTTAATATGCTTTTTTGATCCCTGACAAGAAATGCCATCTTTTCCCAATTGTAAAAAATCTAAAATGTCATTTTAAAGGGTCTCTCCATTCTCTTTGGAATATCTGCCCATTTTTCATGTAGCTGTCAGGTAACGCATTAAAGGTTGCACTCCTGTTCCTGTTTTCTGTTTCCAGTGCAGAGCTGGTCTGATCCTGTTCCTCCTCCTCCCTGCTTGCCCGCAGCTTTTCCCTGGGACCAAATGGTAAAATAAAATACACAGGGCACACATTGCCTTCTTTCTAACTGAGAAGGCAAGGTTGGTGGGATTGAAATCGGTCTTCAAACTCAAAAACTGACTATGCATGGATTATATTCTGGCATTTCAAGGTTTTAAAATTGTTCTCAGCTTGCTTTGAAAGTGATGGGGGTGGGTGAGAACCGTCTTCCTGTGCAAATAAGGTCTGACTTCCTGTTTTTGCTTATCTGAAATTAGCAAGGAG